TGTGGACAGCAAACCTGCTGTAGGTGTGAGTTTACATAATCTGTCTGTCTTGCCAACAAAAAATTTACACCCACTTAAGGTGTATTTTGGGTCCTTATGAAGTTTTTGTTTAACACTTATTTGCTGTAAATTTTTTAAATTTAAAAATTTTGAATTTTATTAACTTAATCTAAGTTTTACGATACTTTCAATGAGATGAACTCGCATTTTCTAACATCGGCACTTTAAATTGGGCATGATGACATTGGTCAATTTGACTAACAACACAAATCAAATAGGCATTTATCTTGAAAGTGTGATCATGAGCTATCGTAATATTTTAAAACATATAAGAAGTAAATAGTTTCTCATCCTGATCATTGACGTTTAAAATGAGAAAATCGAGATACACGTAGTGAAACATGCTTAACTTATTAATCCTGTCACATGTCTTGATTAGTAGCCTGTTCTGCATACGAGAAACTTAATGCAGGGAACTGTACTAACTTTAACAGATGGCTTGCGTTTTACAGTTGTCTGTTGTTTGTGTTAAAACTTAAACTCTCTTTTCTTGTTAAATATATTTTCTTACTCCTTCCCTTTTCCAGTTTTGTTTAGTTACATTTTCAACCCAAAGTAATAATACATTTGCTGCTTTATGTATGATTGAATTAAAGTATGTTTACGCTTTAATAAGGGTATACTACCATTATTGTAAGTTTTTATCAGTTTCGTATAATCAATCTTGCCTTTAGAAATATAATTAAAGTCTAAATTATCCTCACTGCTGTATATTTACGTAAAATTTATATTTACAATCATGGCCGTAAAAAGATCATAAATTGTGTGAGGGGCTCTTATTCAATTATTTATGTTGATATCATTAGAAAAAATAATGGATTTCAAAATAGCTTAACATTTCTTATCATGGATGTTTGAGTATTAGCCCCCACCCTCCTATGTTTACATTATCTTAGTGCACACCAAATTACAACAAATTACACCAAATCTAAACTTAAGAAGTTATAAACTTATCTCTCTTTGGTGTTAACACAGAGTCAAGAATTAACAAAAGTTTGGTGTTCACAGAACACTTGGTAATATGAAATTTATTCACCGTTTGTTATTTTATTATAGTACATTATAGAAAATTCTAACTGAACATAACACGATCGGATATTTGTAATAATTACATGTTTGTAAATGATGATCGTCCAGGTTAAAAATGTCCTGAAAAGGACTGTTTTTGTTATTAACCTGGACGATCATCATTTACAAACATGTAACGATACTCCCTGGTTTAAACCATTTACTTTATTTGTAATAATAATAATAATAGCTAATCTTTATTGAGGATGCCAACATCACTAAAAAGTGGTTTACAGAGGGGTCCTCCAAAAGTAACTAAATACGATATAGCTGCCTAAAAATAAAAGAAAGAGAATACAAATCGAAAAATATGAAGATAAAACTACATCATTTGAAAATTAACATGCTAAAATCGAAACTAATTAAAATAGTGCTTTCTTGATACCACGCTTAAATTGGCTTAATGTGGGCACATTTCTTATGGAAAGGGGTAAGACATTCCAAACGTCTGCTGCAATATTTATTGTTATGCAGTGCCCCATCTTCTGTGCGCGAATGATTTGCGGATATTTCGCTTTGATCATGTATTATAGTTATGACAGTTACTGTTAAAACAGCAGTGAAAAGTGTGCATGTAACATGAAAATAGCACGATGCTCGGATCTCCGCCTTTCTAGAGGTTTCCAATGGAGCTTTGAAAGTGCATCGCTCGCGGAAGCAGTAGGGGGGAGATCTAAAATGATTCGCGCAGCCTTATTGTGAAGGATCTGTAGCTCTGTCATAAGTGTATTGTTGCCCCGGTCTCCCCATATTATATCACCGTAGTAAAAAAGGGGCAGAACAAAAGAATCAAAGAAAGTTATCCTAGCGCTTAGTGGGAGACACGACTTGATGCGCCGCAAAATGCCTAGCTTCTTGTTTATCTTATTACGCATGTGTTCAAAATGATCCTCCCAAGTGATTGATAATTAATCCTAAGTAGGGAAAGCATTCTGCTTCCTTAAGTTACTTACCATCGGCTGAAATAACAATGGAATCGATTCTACGTAGTCTCGAGTTACAACCTATTAGCATAAATTGGGATTTCTTGATGTTAAAAGTAAGTTGATTTAGTTTCAACCAATCACATAGTTGTCTGAGGTCTAAGTTCATCTTAGTTTCGATATCTGAAATAAGTTTGGAGGAAAAATATAAAACGGTGTCATCAGCGTACAAAGTAATATTAAAAATTCGAGGACGTTTGTTAAGTCATTCATATAAATTATAAACAATAGCGAGCTTAAGATTGAGCCTTGGGCAACTCCGACAGATACTGTGTCTGGGTCAATTGAGCTCTGCCATAGCAAGTAACTTGGTTTCTGTTGGAAAGGAAAGAATCAAACAAGTTCTGTGCTGTATCATCTACACCAAAGCGAGAAAGTTGCAGGATGGAGTGATTCACGGTGTCGAACGCCTTTGTCAGATCTAAAAGACGGTCCCTGTAACAGTGCCGTTGTCCATGCCGAGGAGTAACTGGTCAATAAACTGTGCAGAAGCTGTGACCGTCGAGGATTTCAGTCGAAAACCAAACTGTTTTGACGAGATTAGGTTATTTTCTGTTAGGTAGCCATAGAATTGAGTGCGAACAGCATTTTCTAAGATCTTACTTAGCGTTGGCAGTACTGAGATTGGCCTGTAGTTGGACGCGTCCTGTTTGTCACCTTTCTTAAAAAGGGGTATGACCCTCGCGTTTTTCCAAACAGAAGGAAAAGTTCCTGTTTTAGCGATAGATTGAATAGTGACGTCAAAAGGTGCAATAATGTGTGCAGAGTCCTTAACCAGGCGGGCAATGATTTTATCTAACCCAGTAGCCCTATTGGGTTTTAAACGCTTAATAGCTTCTCTTACAAAACTTTCAGATATCAGCCGCAACGAAAACCCGGAACCAGTTATATTAGGATTTACTTCAGGCTGGTTAGAGAACGATAATTGCTACATTCATTTAAGCGTTCTAAATATTCAAAACATGTTTATAGTGTTTCTATGTTTATTCTATTATAACATAACACGAAAAAGTAATTTGCTATACAAATGTGGTTTTTCTACTTTTTATTTCCACTTTACACATTTATGTTTTGCCTCTTGGATTTATATTTTCAACTCACGATTATTTTTCTAAACATTTTATTAATCTTCAACTGTTATGTTTTTCTCTCGTCCCTTAAACCTCAAACTCAAATTTTCATCCTCATGTCTTTTTTAAAACAATCCTGCATTTGTTGGCAACATTATAAATGATATAAATTTTCCAACAGATACATGTCCATTAGTGAAACACATCCTTAAAGAAGAAAGTTTTGAGACGTTAAAGGACTGTACCTTTAAATGTCATCAAGAAGTACTTTGCATTGGAATCAACTTCATCAATTATTCCAAGAAAAATATAAACTGTCAGTTGACATCGTCACTTCAGCACGAACACGAAAATTGTCACGAGAGGAAATGGAATTTTTATCAGAAATTAACAACTGACCCACAGGTATGAACATGGCTTATGTATTTTTATTCTAAAAAATATTACCTACAATTAGGAGGAGAAAAATTTAAGAAAAAATATTAGATCCATATGACTCTTGTACAATTTACAAAAATATTAAGTAAAATCATAATATTTGAAATCTTTTATTACTAAATATTTGTTAAACTAAACATAATTCATTATTAGTGTACTTTCCTCATACGTTTGTGTTAGCACTGCTTTCACCTCTTTGCAACTTAACAACAAATCAAATTAAAAATGACTTCTTATAAGTTAAAGAGGAGCATGGAATGTAAAAATTGGTGCAAACTGGAATGGTTGATTTATAAGTGTAGCATAATTGTTTCGTATGCAATTTTTAAAATTAATACTTTCTCGTAACTATTTGACAGTTTTATGAGGCATGTTTTCCTTCAAGTTTGCATTTCGCATAAAAAAGTCAGTGAAAATGTAGTTGGATATACCGTTTGTTTAGAAAAAAATGAATGTAACAAATTATAAAGTAAATAGTAGTTGAAGCTTAAAAAAATGTTAGCTATTAAAAACAATTAATGCTTTTCAATAATTGTCAATTTCCTAAGGTATGTACTTTTCTTTAGGTGTCAAGTATTAAGCAGAAACACTGCAAAAATGGAGGTTGGGCAGTTCTTAATGCCAAATATGCACCAAATTCAGATCCTTATAAATGCCAATGTCCATTGGCATACGTAGGGGATTTTTGTGAAATTGGTAATCTTAGTTTACTTTATCATTAATAAATAATGTAAGATACACAATAAATGTACCTTTAAGCTCGAAAGCTTTTTTTTCCACCTAAATAATCAATTGCGTGATTTTTCACTTCTGCAATTCCCCACAAACTTGTTCACACATTCACGTTGAAATATAAACGAGATAATGATTTTGTTTAATATTATGAATAAAATAATAAATATTGGCTTATGAAATAGTAACTAACTATATATTACTAATAACTATTAAATAAGTATTGCCTAGATTTAACATATTGACATCATTAATACAAAAACAACTCAGAGTAAATAAGGAAGTTAATTACAACGTGAGATAAATACAATACGGAGCTTTCACAAAAGTTAGAGCATTTATATAACCCAATTCTTAAAAATACTTAGCGGCTAGTGACAAAATGTGCACTTTGCGCTTTATTGAAAAAGTAAAGAACTCAAAGTTTGAGAATAGCGTTAAAGAGCTACATTTATTTGTTCAGGTTAGCTTCGAATTTGTGTATGTATAGTACTTCTTTAACTTTGAGAGGCATTGGAAAATTGGCAGTATCATTTTGTACGTTGCTACCCGACTAAGCTCTAGGCACCTGATTCTCCTAATGTCATCTTTTTTCCATAAAAAAGTGTTTTAAAAATGTACTTTTGGTTGAATTAGTAGTTTCTTGCAGGTCCACGACGTGCAAGCAAGTTTGATGGTGGCAATACACATCAATATGGAATATATCTCAACTCTTCGAAGAAATTTGATGCATTTTCAATATCATTTTGGATCACAATGTCTGATGATGTTTATTACGAGACCCAACATGCATCGATAATATCCTATGCTTTTAAAGAAAAAGGCCAAGTCAATTCAAACGCTCCTTTATTTCTTATCTTAAACAAGAAGTTGTCTATGTTTTTCCTTGGCCCAGATATTAGGTATACAGATGTTACTTTTCACCAAAAATATAATTGATTTTTTAAAAAATTACTTCGAGATGCAGAAGGAAATAGAAATGCACCTTTTCCATTTTCATGATTCTTTGACATCTTTTGATTTTTTCCAAACACTTTATTATCTAATTAACGATTAATGTTATTGGTATAACAAAAAAGACTTTAAGAAACGGAAGCTAAAAGACATGAAATGCTTTCCATCTTTTTATGGTTAATTTTCGACTTGAAGTATTATAAATTTTTGTACATGTTTTAGAACTGACATTAGTGATATATTTGATGGAAAACAACATCATATTATGATCACGTGGCAAAAGGTTGATGGACAATTGATCATTTACAAAGACGGCGAACAAAAATATTCAAAAATTGTTGCAAAAGATCGAACTCTTCTAGCAGGAGGAGTATGGGTGGTTGGACAAGATCAAGACACTTTTGGTGGAGGATTTCAGATTCGTAACTGTTTCAAAGGAATTATAGATGCTGTATACATATGGGACAAAGTTTTGTCAATTGATGAGATAAAGCTACTGGCAAAAAACTGCAATGCATATTTAAGTGGATACAGTATTGGTTACCATGACTTTGAATTTACTAATACTACTAATCGTGTTGTGCCAACTTGCTCCACATAAACATCACAGCTTTATTCCGTTTCTTTTCTGATATACTATTACAACTTGTAGATATTTCTATAGATTTAACTTTGTTTTAATAAATTTTTATGTTAAGTTAACATATAACGACAGCTCCATGATGTAAGTAGGTTAAATTTACTGTTTTAATGGCATTATATAGAATACTTGATATATTGATGTTTCTTGTGAAGTCTCCTACAAAAATTACAATAATTCATGATGATCTATGAAAGAGATATTTATAGAAAGCTACGTCACCACTATTGATGTGCTGGCAACTAGTAAGAAAATCCACACTGAAATTTAAAAGAGAGTTAAATTTTTCTAATTAAGATGAATGGTATAGAAATAAATGTTACTGAACTTCAACGAGATTGAGGATCTGTCAAGATAGTGACGCTATTTGAAACTTATACTGTTGTAACTACAACAGATCTCATTCAGATCACCAAATGCATCGATTGACTGAAAAAGAGTAGGTCACCTATGATCGCGTTCAAGGGAATTAAGTAAAGAGGTTTGACGCACACTCGCCATTCATGCATGCTTAATTTATTAGAGTCGTGTATACTACCCAAGCTAAGAGTTTATTACTAAAATATTTGACCATCATGTTTTAAAAGACGAGTAGAAATTAATAGTAGCGAGAAACTTTTAATAACACCTAAACATAAAAAAATGTCCAAGCGCCAAGCCGCTGGGTGTTGAGAAAACTAAGTTACCGTTTGTTTTAGCAAAAACAAAGCGAGCCATTTCTATAAAAATGGACGTTTAAGATTATACATCAGTAAAATGGATGAACACCTGAAATCAAGATTTAATGAAATTAAAAGTGCACATAAATCTTTAAAATCGCACTCCTAAGACTTTGGTCTTTAGACCAATTTCCCTAACATCCTTTCTAACAAATTTTAGAGTCCTTTCCCAATAAATGACTGCTACAATCAATCAGCAATCTAATTGACAATAAGCAATTTTTGGGATTAAATGACTTAATTCTTAATTTGTACTCATTTATATTTTTCACAAATGGTATGAATATATGGACACGTACACCATGCACCTTAATTCGAAATTAGTACTCATTTATATGTTCCATAAATGGTATGGATAAAGGGACACACCAGGCAATTTAACTCTAAATTGGTATTCATTTGTATGTTCTATAAATGGTATGAATATATGGACATACCTGGCACGTTGACTCTAAGTCATTTATTTGTTCCATGAATGATATGAAAATATGGGCAAACTCGGTACCTGCAGGCTTACATATATATTAGACGATTCTAAAGCTTTCGACAGAATTGTATGATCAAAATATTTTAATGCAAAACCACAAAAGCATAAAAACCCGCCTAGTTCTGATTAATTGGACAGCAAGTTTTCTAAAGAACCAAAGCTAAAACTTAATTGTTAAAAAATCTTAGGGATTAGTGACAGGATGTGCGTACTGAGTATTGACGACAAAATTAGGAAGTTGAAGTTTGAAAACAGTGTTAAAAAACTGGATTTGTTTCTTCTGTGATCTGCGTACGAGACTCTTAATTCAGCGAAATATGACAAGTTTAACAAATAGGTTACATTTAACAGTTGTCAGCTCAGTTATGGATATATTGCTATGACATAATTTGTGATAAAAATTAAACTCGGTAATTTCTTGCTGAAATATATTATCATGCTACTTTACTTTTCCTGTTTTGTTTAGTCAGATTTTAAACTCAATGTAAAAATACATTTAATACTTTCCGTATTACTCAACTAGTGCAAGTTTATGCTTTAGTAAGTGTATATTAACACTCTGCACGTAAATTTGCATAAATGTTTAGATTCTTGCCTTTATATGAATTTAAAATGTAAATTTACTTCACTGGTGTAAATTTACGTAAAAGTTGTACATATTTACATTATGTTTGTGTATATAACAAACTTATAATCGTTTCAATTTATTCCAAATTGAGCTCAGTCTGAGCTCAGTCAGACGGCTCTCAGTCATTTTCTTTCCCGTTTTTATTTAAACAACCACTACATATAACACTATCACAGACACGAGCTAGTACCGGTTTGGCTTTGTTCCACTCTTATGTAAATGAGGTCTTTATCGAAAGTTGAACCTATAAAATCGAGATTCAAAATGTAAATGGACAGAGTCGATATAGAAAGTTTTCACAGAGACTTTGTCGTGGTGATAAACTTAAAGATGGATTTCAAAATAGCAAATACATTGGTGAATGGTGATAATAACAATGTAATAGCTCTTAAAAAAACTGTTTTAACCAGAACACTAACCCAACAATTCAAAGGAACCGTTTTTACAGCTAGAAAGAGACACTACGCATTTCGGCAGACTACTCGTCAGGTGTCAGCATCTGCTAAATGAGAACCTCCAAACCGTGCTATATTTATAACGTTAAAAAGGCAATGTCATCCCTATTTTTAGAGATGGCACTTAAACAGGAGAGAGGAGTGAGATTGCTAAGATTTGTATTACAGAAATGTGATTTTTACTCAAAACGTACCTTTTGCTTTCAGCTACAACTGTAGCAAAATTTAGTTTTAACTTTCGTGACATTTTATTTGGAAATTAGTATAATTTTGTTTAACACAAGTAAACAAGCATTTCAAATTTATAGCTAACTTGCGCAAAACATAAACCTATTAACTTATAGTTATTTAAGTTGATAATTGTCTAAGAACAGATGTAACTACTTTTAACTCTTAGCATTGCGTGTACAAAAAAGTAAATATGCAACTCATTAAATTCAAGAAAGTATGGAATTGCATTGTAGGTGTTTGAAAATAAAGAAATAAAGACGTTTCTCAAATTGATTTTAATAATTGTTTATAGGAGGAGTTTTGAAAAGAAAAACATATTCTTTAAAAGTACCATTGAATAAACACATTCAACCAATATCCTCCTTTAGAAGCACTTTTATCACTGTCTAAAGTAATTGAGAAAGCGTTGTGCGAAAACAATTACCAAAGAGGTTTCCCTTCAACAAAAAGATTTTATTTAATGCAATCTCAAAAAACTGAAACCTTTCAAACAAAAAAATTTGAATGTTACATTGCAATTTCTGTAATTTTTTAATCAAAAATTTTTTTTAAGTCGCTGAATGCTTTCTTTTGCCCTCCTTTGTCTTGCATGATAATTGCTACTTTGTAAAATTGATGCAGGTGTGAATAACTTTGGCTCCTTTTTTAAATTTTTCTGTCATATTGAACGCCTTTATATGCCATCCACAATTATGCAGCTAAAAATTTAACTAAATAGCTATATAAATAAGATTTGTGTAATTTCTTCCCTTTCTTTTCTACTTAAACCAGAATAATGCTTTTTCAAGCTGGTATTGTTGATATTATAATTGTCCTTGCACTTTTCGAAGTTTAATAAATAAAACTTGATTTACTTCTTTAGATATTACCTTTTTTAATACTTAAAATGTTTTTTCTTTGCATTTTGTTTTTTATTTACCTTAATTCCACATCAGTTTCTTCCAATGAAAAAACCCAATTGAACAATGTTTTGTGTTAAAATTATGATCTTGTCAAATTTCTATTAAGATAATCACATGTTAAATATTTAATATCAACGCAATGAATTATTAAAGTCTGAACACATTAAAATATATATGACTTATCTTGCTAACCATTCGCGTTTTGTCAGTTTAGGTGTTCATACAAATTCGTAAATTTTAATAAGTAACTGAAAGTTTTATCTTTTCTTTTGAAAGAAAATCAATTTTAAGAATAGCATATAGGCTCTAAGAAATGACAAATAGATTTGAAGATATAATTCCATTGTTGATGCTTTACTTAATGATTGCAGCTCAAAATAAATGTGAAGGGAAAACATCAACATCACTATACAGACGTCGCTCTGAAGGTGGGAATGGTATATTTATTTGATCTAATATATAATCAATTGTTAACTTTATTAGTTGTTTTACAAGACATACGTAAAAAAGAATAGTTTAACCCCCCGAGTATATTCTAGCATGCTTGTAGATGTAGATCGTTCAGATTAACAGTAGCATAGCGAGCCCGACTTTTTTTACTCCCGCTATGCAAATATTTTTTTTGTTTACTGACCATGAGAACATTAGATTTCTAAATAAAATAATAATGATAATCCTTCAAAATTTACATAGCTTTTGAAAGTGAATTGAATTTCAAAAGAGATCAGTAGCGCTCAAATGAATATATGAATATACACATCTCCAATTAACGTTTTAGTTACGCTTCTTCGTGCTCGTATGAGTCTTCTTAAAGTGGAGTTCAACGTAAATCTTTATAAACAATAAAATTTAGGCAGACAAATTTGGAAAACTATCACTTATAAGTATATTAGAGAAAATTATAAATTTACATGAAAATATTTTAAGCAGCAAAATTCACAGGGAAATTTGTGAGATGAATTTATAGTGTAAAGTAAAGGCAAGGATTTAAAGACAAAGATAAATTTAGTGTGCACAATGCAATCATTACCTTTCTTTCTTGTTAACAAACAGTTGCCCCGCTTAAGATGTGTTTTGGGCCCCTATGAAGTATTAGTTTAACACTGGTCTGATGTTGATTTTTAAAATTTAAAAATTTTTATATTTCTTGCCTTTCAATTCCAAGTTCAATTCAAAATAAGATTATTGTTTTTGTGATTTACGTTTTAATGTAATTCCAATGAGATGAAGTCCCATTTTCTTACATAGGCACTTTAAAGCATGCATTCATTTTCTAAATTCGATATTATCCTTTAACTCTGAGCTTTTGCTCACAACCCTTGAACCTCACACTCAAATTTCAGTCCTCTCGTCTTTTTGATACATTCACGCATTTGTGGGCAACATTATAAATAAAATCAATTTTCCAACAGATACATGTCCTTTGGTGAAACACATCCTCAAAGAGGGAAAGTTTGAGACATTGGAGGATTGCACCTTTAAATGTCATCAAGAAGTATTTTGCATTGGATTCAACTTCATAATTTATTCTAAGCAAAATATAAACTGTCAGTTGACATCGTCACTTCAGCACGAACACGAAAATTGTCACGAGAGAAAATGGAATTTCTATCAGAAATTAAAAACTGACCCACAAGTATGAATATGGCTTATGTATTTTTTATCTAAAATTGTTAGCTACAATTGGGTGCAAAAAATATTAAGAAAAAGTAT